CCAAAAATGAAGGCAGGGCCCCCCCCCCCTACATCAAATGTGCCAACTCCACCATCCCCTTTTTGAAAATAAAATGGCGATTTTCTAGGAGTTGTTGAGACTTCTACAGAACCTTAGAATTGATGATCAATCTAGACTAAAGGAGTCGGGGATAGGAAAGGTTCGTTATCTATTGTGTTTAAACACTGTTAACTTATGACTTAAAAACTTCCTAATGTCCGAATGGGTTATCAAGCTTTACTTTAACACTAAGCGAAAAAAGAACAAATTTTGACTGTTTGTTTAAAAAACCGTATATATCTTTAAGAAATGTTCATGCACTGCTTTGCATAAATGAATGAATAAATCATTAAAAATCTATTAGTTCAATCATTGATTCATGATTCATTGATACATTAAATGAAATTAGAAATAACGGAAATAATGAAAGTGATAATAAATCTTCAGTGGATCAAATGCAAATAAAATAAATAAATTAAAGAAACCTCTTAATAAATCGATAAGTTAATAAATCAATGAATCATTAAATTGATTGAAATCAATGAACTAATGCTATAATTATTAGGCTGTAATGTATCTGTACAAGCATCCTAAAGAGATCAAGGAAAACAAAGTGATCGCTGGCAAAATAATAAATAACTGGGCTAGACCTATCTTCAACAAATCTATGGATTACAAGGTACACTTTTACACGTTACATGTAATATTTAATAATAATAATAATAATATTTAATGATTATAATAATATTCTACCAATCCCAATATTCTTTTTAATGTACCTTGAGATACGCATAGGTACTTGATTGAAAGTATTTTACAATGTTTACTTGTAAAAACTATGTTAGCTAGTAGATGTGTATTTTTCTATGGGACTATTGAAGCAAGTTCTAAGCTTTGCATTAGATTTCTTTATAACTTCTTGGCAGAAATTTATTTTCCATTGCAAATGATTCTGATCTTAGTAAAATGTTAGTTAAGAAACAAATGAAATATTTTGATGTCCCATTGAACCATGCATGGAAAGTTCCGGTTTTACAAGAACTTTTAAATACAAGAATAAATAATGTATATGTTGAAGGATTCGATGATTACGTAATAACTGAAATGATAAATATGTTATGTAATGAGTAATGATCAATGTCGCCTATTTGTTCATAATTTTGCATATTTTTCTTTTTTTCTTTTGTAAAACTATATATTCAAAAACAAATTTAAACCACACCATTTATGGATTGGAAACTAAATATTGCACTTTTACACAAATATATATAGAAACTTCTTATTTTGATAAAACTTCCGGTCGATTTATCAACAACTTCCGGTTCTTCTTGTCGTTTCATTTTCCGGGTGTGCTTCAAGATTTTCTCTAAGTTGACCACAGGAGACATGTCTAGAAGTCCTTCTAGAAGCTTTCAATGAATCCAATGTGTGGTCGCCTTCTTTCCTATAATCCGTGTAATTAAACTTAAACGTTCCTTTCTTCTTTTTAGCGTCTTTTTAAATTTTTTTTGTTCCTTCTCATCCATTATATCCAGTTCCAGTTCTAGTTCTTGTTTTATTAATCTTATTGACATGTTGTCTCTTTTAGAGTGAATCAAGCAAATTTAATTTTTAAAAACTGACTTTAATAAGATGTGAAATTTAGTTGATTTTTTGCAAGATTTTTTTTCTTTTTAAATCTTTGCGTAAATTGTTATTCTTGCTTTTGTCCCATTTTTCGATCTTGTATTTAGGATTATGACAAAGAAACGAGAGCAGAGCGGGATCAGGAAATTCTGTCTGCAAAGTAAGCTTTAAGTATATATTTACAATATTTACATGGTACGAATTTGTCTGATTTAGCGCACGTCCTAGGTAAAATTCGATAATAATTCGAAAAATATTTTCTCCTGAAACACTTAATTTTGTTTGTTTTTGTTATATTTAATAAAAAAATAATTACCAACTTACAGAAATATCAGTTTGTTAGATCAGCATACAGCAGCAGATAATTTGATAATTTGATTTGATATGATTTGATATTTGGTTTGATTTGATTTGATTTGATTTGATTTGATTTGATTTGATTTGATTTGATTTGATTTGATTTGATTTGATTTGATTTGATTTGATTTGATTTGATTGCAGGAGACGAAGAGTGGAGGAGCCTGAACCGGAGGAGGGACTTCGACCAGGAGATCCAGGGTAATTATTTATCTTAGAATAAGATGCAATCAATCAAAAAAAGGTTTTCGAGTTTTTACGTAATATTTTCTTTTGTTTATTGAAAAAAAACCTTATCTGCAAACATTACTTCGTAACATATATAAAAATTGTAATACTTTCTAAGAATTACAATGTAAAAATTAAATCTGATTATAAATAAATATCTAGATTATAAAAGAATTTGACGACGTGAGTGATCAGAGTTTCTTTTTCCAATGTTAAAATGGTTTTGATATCTATTTAATGTTGAAGGATGTTATGGTTGAATTTTGATTCAACCCCATTCTCTTTTTTTGTGATTATTTTTGCCTTTTACTTAAGATTTTCTGACATATTTTATGAAACGCCATTATTTTTTTTCAAATATTTAATAAAGATCCAAATAAAAGTACTGTAGAGTATCTTGATTCCTCTTGAAGAGATCAGTCTGAAAACATGTTTTTATATTGTAAGATCCTCGCCTTTAATTGCATATATAAATAAACGTTAATCTATCAATTAATCTAAAAACAGCTCTGCTATGACGATTTACAATTTTTATGCTCAACCTGTCATATTTTCAGATTTATATGAGCGAAGAGCTAGCTTTATTATGAGAGAAATTTATATTTTTGTTCTAGTTGGATTGGTAGAGCCAGGGTTCCTATGCCAAGCAGCAAGGACTACGTGGCTAGACCGGAGTGGGCTACAGACGTCGAACTAAGTAAACCTAAGAAGAAGGAGGTAAATTATCATTTCAGGAGTTTGATTTTACCCCTTTCAAAAATACCCCGGATCCGGATCCGCAAAATTATGCCAATCCGGATCCAAAACATGCAAAAATTAACATTGTGTTCTGAAAACATGAAATTCCACTGTTACCTAACAAAGGTATTTTATCGGGGTCTAATTTGCTTCCCACTAGAACTTTGACGTTTGTGTTGCACATGGATATGTTTCGGCGGCTAGAAGAGCCGACCCCTTTTTTATTCCTTTAAAAATAATAATGATTGGGTGGAATTAAGTTTTGTACGGGAAATACAAATTTATTTTGGGTAATGAACTAATAAGTATAAAAAATACCCATGAATTTGTTGAAAATGACCACGGGCTCAGCTACATTTTGCCTAGTCACAATTTGCCTAGTCACATTTTGCCTAGTCACATTTTGCCTAGTCACATTTTGCCTAGGTAACAGTTTGCCTAGGTAACATTTTGCCTAGTAACATTTTGCCTAGGGTAACATTTTGCCTAGAGTAACAAAAGAGCGAATTTTTTGCCTAGTCAATAATTTTTTCACAAAGAAATTTTCATCAATCCGAGATTTTTTTTCAATAATCCGAGATTTTTTTTTTAAATCCGCAAATTTTTTGGCAAAAACTTCGCAAATTTTTGAATATCATTCAGTTTTCTTTAACCCAATCAGAAGGAGAGACGCATTGAAAATGGCTCCCATGATAACTGCAGGGCTTACCAGGCGGGGTAAGCCCAACTACAGAGATAAGAATAACTTCTATTATGTTTTCAATGGGGAGAGGGCAGAGACCAAGAATTGGCGCTGTTCCCAGAAATCATGCACTGCAACCCTAACAACGAGGATATCTACTGGAAACCTGAGCCCGCGATTTAAAAACTTCGGCTCGAGCCGTAATTCCTTAAACCCGACTTTAAGACCCAATCTTCGACCCAACTATGACGACAGCTTGTGTCACGTGATTGACAGCTGCGAGATCTTAGGCTCGACTTAAGGAGTTAGGCCCAATGAAAATAAAACCGACCTTGGTTGGTTTTAGTGGAGAATAAGGCTCAATGTTGGGTCTTATTCTCATCAAAACTAGGAATGCACCAATTCCAACTATGAAAATCCGCCAAATACAACATTAAACCGGTTTTATGAACTAAATTCTGTTGAAAAATAGATGCAACTTAAATTCGAAAGCTCGAGCCGTAAATAAGGCTCAACAACAGCTTAGACCCGAGTCGTATTTTCTTGAATTTTTTAAATCGCCGGCTCTGGTAGGGGATGTACTCCCAACTCATGGACATACCAACAAGCTGCTGAAGACGAAAGCTAAGACCACAGAAAAGGCTGTGATTGAAAAATATGCCAATGTTCAAGGAAAGCAGAGATCAAAGAACTCCAGACAGAGGGTGAAATTTGTTGTAGAAGCTTTCCATACTATGTCGAAAGCTGATTATATCCAAACCCTTGCACATGACCAGCAGAAGATAAATAATGATAAATAAAGATCACCTGTATGTATTACTATGTATACTCCATGATTATGTAAAATGTATTTAAAAAATATATATATATATATCTGATACATAACCATATTTTATCTTTTGTAGAGTGACAGGAATGTTAAAATTGCTGTACAGAATACAATTGAATTCATTAATTTTAATTCATTAAAATTTATCTGGTTAAACTTTAAAAAAATGTTTAATTCTTGACAAAATTTGTTTTTTATAAAAAATTATTGACTAGGCAAAAAACATGCTCTTGCGTTACCTAGGCAAAATGTTACCCTAGTCAAAATGTTACTAGGCAAACTTGAACTAGGCAAAAAGTTACCTAGGCAAAATGTTACCTAGGCAAAAGTGAACTAGGCAAAATGTGACTAGGCAAAATGTGACTAGGCAAAATGTGACTAGGCAAATTGTGACTAGGCAAAATGTAGCTGAGCCGCAAAAATATATTTAAAATAAACCTCACGAAAGACGACACAGTAAATGAAAAAAATCTATTAATAAACTGCTTAAAATTTATTCGTGTTCAGGTAACTTTGATCGAAAAACATTTCCGTGCCGCAGCTGAGCGTAAGAAACTGTCCAAACCTCGGCGCGCGGTTGAGATGTCTATGGAGGGAAGGAAGATGGCGCTGTAAACACTTAGATCATATGATAACCGGCTCAACTAAAGGGACTCTAGACTCAATTTCAAGTGTACCCTCCATCCATTCATTTCCAATTCACAACCGTACCCTTTGAAATTTGAATATTTATCTGCATTTTTCTATCTTTTTAATTGAATATTTTCAATCGTGGCTCTTTAGAAAAGCAACTTAAGATGAGGGATTATAGGGTACTATTGTGAATCGGACATGACGCTTTATGAATGTATGGTGACGTTAAATTGCGTCTGAAGTCCCATAAAGAAGGAATATTTTATTTATATTAGTTTTGGAATTCACAGAAACTTTTACTTAAAACTAGTATTTTTTAAACATAATTATCAAAATGAATATTTATTTGTTCTTTAAAAATTTAAAATCTTGAAGAATAATACTCCGTGTTTTTTTTGATCAAGTTGATTGTGAAAACGTACATTAAACTATAGGTTTTTGGATTTGTATATTTATTCGTCTCTGATTTTTCTTATTTTCCTTTTTACCCTCAAGGTTTTTTTTTCAATCTCAAGTTTGTTTGAAAACATATATTAAAATACTTGCAGCACACCTTATTTAATTTAGCAAAAAGGGTAATTTTGTTTGCTTGGTTTCAGTTCTGTAAATCTTTAATTATCTTGTTTTGATTTCGCTAAAATATTATTTTAAAGATGATCTCTTCGCGCATTTGTTGGACGAGATTTTGTTACTTACTAGACTTTTTTTTTTAACCTTTTTCGCAATTTTGATAATTTCAGAAAAAGAAAATGGCGGATGCTAAAGAAGAAACCTCTCCGGAGCACATTAATCTTAAGGTAAAAATTACTGAAGCATTTAACTTTTGGTCTGAATATTTGGTGCGCTTTAAATTATTTAATTTCAATTTCACTTTTAAATGAATTCTTGTCTGGAGCCTGCACTGAGCTGACATTGCGGACCCTGATGCTTCAAGGCCAAAAAAAGCTTTATAATGATAGTGGGAACTTTTGTATTGAGTTTTTATGATCCCGATCAGCTGATTTGCACAATAGAGCTCATAATTTGAGGATTAATGCTTAATTTGACGTCTTAATTTCAGTTATTTCTGCAGGGTACGATTATCATGCGGGATATTGAATAAAGATTAAATTAATCTGAAGATAAACAAAAAACGAGATCAAGCATTGATCTCTATATAACGAATCGTTAATAAAAAATATTTTATTTCACTTTTAAGAATTGAGCATTCTTATTTTAACATAAACTTGTTCAGGTGATGGGACAGGACGGTAACATCGTACAGTTTAAGATCAAGAAGCATACTGCCCTCAAGAAACTCATGTCGACATACTGCGAGAGAGCAGGCCTAGCACTTCAGGTACACTTTTAGGGAAAAGGTAGGATTGAAAAAAAAATGGAAAATTATTCCAACTAACCGAGTTTCATTTGACATTATTCGTGCGAATATTAGGTTATCGTTAATAACTATTTATAACACTGTTATTTTGGTTCACAGTGTTATAAAGTTTTTGGACAGAAATTTTCTCTTTATCCAGAAGGTTCAAGCCTTGTTAGATAATATAAACAATAAAAAAATATAATCTAAAAAGGTGAGAACCTTCGAAATATTGAGAAAATTAAAGTCCAAAAACTTTAAGCACGTCGTGCCAAAATAATTGTGTTAGGTAATTTTATGAAACGTTTGTGTACTTGTCTTATTCGAGTTATTTCAATGGCTCTTTTAAATAAAAAAACCCATTGAAACAAAACAGAAGTCTAAATATAAAGTTGATTTCAATTTTATTTTCCTTTCAACTGAAAAAATATTTTGGAAATATCCTAAATGTTTTTGAGAAAATCCGGAAACCAATCAAAACTTTATAGCACACGTGCTATAATGAAAAGCTAATTAAACTTTAAAGCAAGATGATTACTTTACAGCACGTTCATTATGAAATTCACGATGAAGTGAGTAAGAATGATAAAGTAAAAAAAGAAAAAAATTCAGCCACCAGCTTCTATTTTAATCATTTGCTGTTGATTCTTCTTTTCAACTAAACTAGCAAATAGAATTATCAAAGGATAGGTAAAATTTCTAGAATATTAACAATGATACTGTTAGGTTTCTTAGTATTAGTTTTGCAAAAAGTCTTTGCCACAAAATCTGATTTTTTAATTCCTACATCCTTGCAACCCAACGTCGTATACCCTAGATATTTCAAACTATGAAGTCTGTTAGATCAATAAATCTAAGTTTGAAACTTTGAAACATCAAATATTTACACATCATGTTGCAAAGATAAAGGGACTAGCAAGTTTAAGTTTGTGGCAATATTTTTAAAGAAAACGAACCGGTGAGTGGGGAGGTGGGTTTTATTATTTTTGAATTGCTAAGATTTATGAGATTTCGTTATTATCAATTAAATATTTTTGTAACATCCTTCCTTTAATTTTAACATTGTTTTAACACTGTGCAGCAAGTATAAAAATGAAAAGTGGATAGTTAGAGAAAAAGAAAATTAATTTTTCATAAATTTTCAGACGATTCGGTTCTCCTTCGACGGAACTCGAATTAACGAGAGCGATACACCTAAGTCTCTGGAGATGGAAGATGGGGATACCATCGAGGTTAGACAGTGTTTTTTCGTGGACTTTCAGATTCAAAATATTGTCTTGAATCCAGTCCCGGTCCGGATTCTGGCTTCCTGGATCCGAATCCAATGGACAAAATATCGACCAACCACTGTAAAAAACATCTTTTTGTTCTCTAAACCCAAATTTGAACTGTTAAAAAAAGATGGAATATAAAAATGTTCCTTATATTTGAATGGATTTTCGAGTTCTAACATAAAATGAGCGAAAAAAGAAAGAAATGATTTTAAAATTCTTCTTTTGTCAAAAAAAATCATTTAATCTTAAAGAAATGTTCAACGTTTTATGTCCGGATCCATTTTTTTCAGGACAGATTCAGGATCCGGATTCTCATTTAAATGAAATGAATACTGTTCATATCTAAGATTTAAAATTGAAAATCGTCGAAAATAATGTCTAACTTTGTTTTGGCAAACTTTTGTAAATTTGCGGAATCTGAATTTTTGTTTGGAAAAATAAAGAAAATGTATTGATTGATAAATGGATTGTTTGATGGATAATTTGAGAGAATATTTATTAGAATTTTTAATGGATTATTTAGTGGATTATACTAATTTTTTTAGATTATGAAATTACATGGGTTGATTAACATTGTCTTATGAATTAATCATTGATGGATTGATTTTAGATGATTGATTGGTTGATTGATCGTTTAATTGATTGAGTTGGTTGATGGATTGATTAAAATGATTGATTGATTGATATTTAGGTATTCCAGCAGCAGAGTGGAGGAAGGAGATTTACAGATACCTGCACTACCTTACAGTGTACAGATACCTGCAGCACTGTACAGTGTACAGTTAACTGCAGTACCTACAACATGTCACACGCACAAGTCAGTATTGATAGTTTTATACTGTACAATGTTCTCGTCGTATATTGTACTTAGAAACAGCATTAAACAGGTAATTTCAATCTAGCACAAGTACAGTGCACGCGTCAGTACATATGGTTTTTATTTTGTACATAGTTACTGTACTGTAAAAATTACTGCAGTATCAAAACATAGCACAAACACACGCCAGTTTATGTAGTTTTTATTTGGTAGATATTAACTACTTCACAGATTACTGCAGAACCAGCACATGTAACAAAAACACGCCAGTACATATGATAACCGCACTGTACGGATTAGTGCAGTACCTATACGTGTTACAAGAACACGCCAGTACAGTTTTTATTTTGTAGATAATTACATTACTGTTCACTACAGTTCCTATACTTGTTACAAGAACAGGCCAGTACGTTTTATTTTGTACATATTTACCGTACTGTACAGATTACCGCAGTATCAAAACAAGTCACAAGCACACGCCAGTATATGTAGTTTTTGTTTTGTACATATTAACAATACTGTACAGATAACTGCAGTACCGAATACAATGTACATGTCACAAGAACACGCCAGTACAGTTTTATTTTATACATATTATCAATTCTGTATTGATTAGTGCAGTACCTATACAATATACATGTCACAAGAACATGCCAGTACAGTTATTATTTTGTACTTATTAACAATACTGTATAGTTTACTCAGTACCTTTACAATATACATGTCACAATAACACGCCAGTACAGTTTTATTTTATACATATTATCAATTCTGTATTGATTAGTGCAGTACCTATACAATATACATGTCACAATAACACGCCAGTACAGCTTTATTTTGTACTTATTAACAATACTGTATAGTTTACTCAGTACCTTTACAATATACATGTCACAATAACACGCCAGTACAGCTTTATTTTTTACATATTAACAATACTGTACAGATTAGTGCATTACCTATACAATATACATGTCACAAGAACACGCCAGTACAGCTTTATTTTTTACATATTAACAATACTGTATAGATTACTGCAGTACCTTTACAATATACATGTCACAAGAACACGTCAGTACAGTTCTATTTTATACATATTAACACTACTGTATAGATTACTGCAGTACCTTTACAATATACATGTCACAAGAACACGCCAGTTTATGTAGTTTTCCTTTGTTCATTGTAAGATTACTCTACAGTTTACTACAGTACCTATACAGTACACAGTATACATGTAACAAGAACACGCCAGTACATTTTATTTTGTACATAGTTACCGTACTGTACAGTTAGATAACCGCAGTACCAACACATGTTACAAGAACACACCAGAACAGTTATTATTTTGTACATTGTAGTTTTTAGCTAAAATAAGTTAATACTCTTTTTAAATTTTTTATTATGAAGTTTCTAGAACTCATTTTATTTTAGGTCACATGTGAGTCCAGTTCAATGTAAACCTGATGTACGCTGTACTCCTCTGATCTACTGTATGATGTGTACTACACAACTTTGTACTCTACTCTACTCAGTTCCCTAGTATTCTTCTACTGTTTTGTACTCTGTACTTAACTATTCCTCCAAGACCCACCCCTCATTAAAACTTAAAACATGTAACTTTTCCGCTCTACTCAACAAAATCTCGTTTCAAACTTGATTTTTTCTTTCTCTTAGATTTAATGAATAGCGAGTTGAAGCTGAACTGTGCACACGTAGTTCAACTACTTTCTTTTGCGCCAGTTCAACCTCAAAAAAGTGGTTGAACCACGTCTGTCCGGTTCAACCGTGTCTTTCTCTTTGTTAAATTTTGTCCCAGCTAATTTTTTTCTTCAATTTTATTTTTTTCTATCTTAAGTTCAACTTTTTGCGCAATATTTGCGTGACCTCGCATTTGAATCTATTAGAGTTATACAATGTCCATTAAAAATCAGGAAATAATAAGTTAAAATATTTCATTTAAAAAGATACTTGCTTCTTTGTTTGTTTGTTTTTATGCGTGAGGGGGGGGGGCATGATTTCAGGTCAATATGTTTCTTGTAAAAGCCCTGGAAAATCTTTTTTAAAACCGTACCTCAAACCTTGTAGTATTGCTGTTTTCAAACTATTAGCACCTCTGTGTCTCATAAACTTAGAATTATTTTTTAGTCACACTAAAATGTAATCATTCATAAATCCCTGATTTTTAGTTTCCTTGACTGAAGCGTTTTCGTAAACACTTTTATTGGGCTTATTGACCATCTCTTGTTAGCTGGCGCGGGGGAGGGGGGGGGGGGGTTTGTTTATAAAATGATAATAAACAAGATGATGGAGGAAATACTTTTAGTTCAAACTTAACTTTCTCCTATTTACTATTAAAACAAAGTAATCATCGAAACTATCTTTTTGCATGTGATCTTTTAAAATTAACATCTACATTTAATTTTCTGATATTTGAAAAAGTACTATTTTATGACTGGATAAATTGTGTTATTTCGACTTGCACGTAAGTAACAGTTTCTTTTTTGAAGATAAAATGTCGGAAAGACAAGAGACTGGAATATCTGGAGTAGACTCGTGTTCAGAATATGTGGAGAATAGAGGTCTGCTAGGAGGATTCTCCTTATTGTCCTCGGAGACAGAGGATATGGGCAGTAGAGCAGGTATAATGTGGTTGAGGACAACAGTGCGATAGGACAACAGTGCGATAGGACATACATGGGATAGGACAAAATTTGTAAAGGACATACATGGTATAGGACATACATGAGATGGGACATACCTGAGATAGAACAAACCTGGGATAGGACATATATGGGATTGGACAAACATTGGATAGGACAAACAGGGGATAGGACAAACAGGGGATAGGACAAACACGGGATAGGACAAACAGGGGATAGGACAAACAGGGTATAGGACAAACATAGGATAGGACAAACAGGGGATAGGACAAACATGGGATAGGACAAACAGGGGATAAGACAAACAGGGTATAGGACAAACAGGGGATAGGACAGACATAGGATAGGTCAAACAGGGGATAGGAAAAACATGGGATAGGACAAACATGGGATAGGACAAACAGGGGATAGGACAAACATAGGATAGGACAAACAGGATAGCACAAGCATGGGATATGACAAACAGGGGATAGGACAAACATGGGATAGGACAAACAGGGGATAGGACAAACAGGGGATAGGACAAACATGGGATAGGAAAAACATGGGATAGGAAAAACATGGGATAGGAAAAACATGGGATAGGACAAACATGATAAAACACACATGGTATAGGACCGACTGCAACATGTTAATGGAAAAAATGATTATGAGATAAAAGATATGATTTAAATCATATTTTCCTCAAATTCTAATGTAAAAAGTTAAATTTCGAAATTTATTGCGAAATCAGTATGAGAAATATATGAAATATTTTTTCAGTGTTTGAGTCTACCCTGCTAACTGAACCAATAGGGGCTGACAAAATCAGCCCCTTCAGATCGTTCCCAAGTTTGTCTAGTATTCATAGCCTTAGTCCTGGTTCCTCAAAATTTATTCCACAACCTAAACATTCTACTCGACTACCCAAAACATCTACTCCAGTACCTGAAACATCTACTCCAGTACCTAAAACATCTACTTCAGTATCTAAAACATCTACTCCAGTACCTAAAACATTATCAGTCTCTTCCAGCATTTTACACCCAACTTATCAAAAGATACTTTTACCGTTAAACATTGCGAATAACAACAAGAAACGCGGCAGGAAATTGATGACAAAGAAAAATGTCGGATCGATCAAATTAATGAACTGCCAGGTAACGTTGAGAAGGATGAGAAGTGAAAATTATTCTGAACACCTGATGACTGATCAATCTGAAGGGAACACTCAGAATGGAGTAATTGTGGAAGCTTTGAATGATGGATCTATTGTTGAATCTAAACGCAAACGATCCAAGGTCAGTCTTAATTCTACATTTATGGCGGGCCACAGCAATGTGCAGGTATTTATATTGTAGGGTATGAATGGCAAGGAAGATTTTGGAACAATCTAGATGGATCTAGTCCAGTAGAAATATTGCTGTAATTATGTCAGGCCAAGGTCCCCAAGGCTCACCACACTTATAGTGTGACGCCGCACATTCTTAATTTAGAACCTTTCCTTCGTTTTAGAGGCTTAAACATTAGATTTTATTACAATCCAGAGATGATTTCAAGGATGTACAAGAGGAGGAAGACTTCAGTTGTCTTCAATATACAATATACATATTTTCAATCCCTCAGACTATGCTTCTATCCTCAAAAATGTCCAATTTAGCATAACCAATATTCTAATATTTACGCACAGAAACTTATTTTTTAAAACTTACAAGGAACAAAGTAATTTTTAAAGATTAAATTTCAACGTTAGAATTTAAAGAAGTTGTCGCTTTAATTGTTTTTCATTTAAAGAGAAACATGCCTGATAAACAAAGGTACCCTTTACAACTGTACCAGTACAAACGTCGGACGGTACAAACCTAAGACTTACAATCCTCGGACAGAACAAACGTTGGACTAGTACAAACGTCGGAATGGTACAAGCGTCGGACTGGTACAAACGTCGGACTGGTACAAACGTCGGACCAGTACAAACGTCAGATCAGTTCAAACGTCGGACTAAGGAAAAAAATTATTTGGATTTTAAGATTTTTTTAAAAGGTTATTTCTTGTTATCCACTGGTTAATACAAATCTACCAAAAGTTACTGAGTTCTTGTCACTAACTCAAATATTCTTACCCTAAATCTTTGCAATCTGGTAATTGTATTAACCTTTGATACTTACAAACTTAAACTGTTTGATCTTATGGATTTCAATGAAATTTTAAAGGTTATACGACATCGGGTTGCAAAGATATAGGCATTGAAACATCAGAGGTTGGGACAATTGAACTCAATTCCTTTTTGGTGTTTTTTTTATACTGTGCTACCTTCAAAGGATGAGACTTTGTTCAGTTGATTTTTATCACAATAATTGAGTGGTTTTTATTTTATTTCTTATAGCTATGGTTTTTTTCTTTGCAAACTCAACCTTATAAACGTACCTGTCTAACGTTTGTACTGGTCCGACGTTTGTAATAGTCCGACGTTTGTCTCAGTCCGACGTTTGTCTCAATCCGACGTTTGTCTCAGTCCGACGTTGTACCAGTCCGATGTATATACTGTCCGACCTTTGTAACATCCGACGTTTGTAAATTCCGCATGTCACTTTATGGAGAAACCAAATTGAAAACTATCTTAAGACAAAGCTTTGAAAGGTGTTGTTGTGAATAGGACATGTCACTCTAAGCTAACGTCGACAGTTCCTTTAAATTCTTAATATTTTCCATTCCCCAGAAAACTTCCTAATAGCATCAGTTAAACTCAAAGAGATTATCAAGTACGGTGGCAACAGAGAAATGGATGAATTATACACGACGAAGTGTCAAATATAACAAGGAAAATAAAATTTTCCCACATTAGTGAGAAAACAGAAACTAAAGAACGCTTAAAATTGCACTTATTTTACTGTAAGACAAGCACTTTATTTTAAAATTATCATATTGATAATTTTGTCAAACACATAAACTGAGTTGGTACTGTGACGTAAGAATACAGCTGTACTGAGAGTGAACAAATTCTACGTTGCCATCTATTGTACTAGAATCTATTTGTGAGGGGGGGCAAATTCTAGGATTGTTTTTGGAGCTCTGAATTTCCTTGTCTTTTGAAGAAAAAAATATTAGTTTTGCAAATTAATATTTATTTTTTAGTTGTTCTGCAAATTTTGTGAAGTGAGATCTACCAACCTAGATGTCCATCTGCACGGTATAGAATTTATAGAATTTGATAGTTTTCTACTTTGTTTGTGCGGTACTTTGAAAATAAACAAATATTTCAATGACGCATATTTTTTTATCATATTTATTCTAAGTTCATGGCTGGTTAAATCGATTTTATTTAATAGAAATGTAATGTAAATATTCTAATTATTTTTATCTAGAAACTCACGTAATGCTCGTTGACGGAAAAGAAGTTTGTGGATTCTGCAGGACTATGGAAAAGCCTCCTGTTATCTGCTTGAAAGCTCATATGTGGAGCATATATAGAATTCAATACCGTCAACAGAGTAAACCAGGTTGCCTCAAGCAGATACATACGAAAAGGTTGAGCCAGTGTAAATCCCCCAAATCTAGGAAAAATGTTGCACCGAAGAAATGCGCGAAAAAGCAGAAAACGATGAGCAACAAACTTCAGAAGGAAGAATACCAAGATGTAATGGTCTTTAGTGACTTGATGGAGATTTCTGACTTCGAGGATAGTTCTGACTCATCCGGTAGCGAGATTGACGAGATAGGGGTTGAGCTCTTCTCTCCTTCAAAGTTCCTTGAGGTTGTTTCTGATCTTGATCTCAGGGTTTGCAAGTTTATACAATTTAAAAGTTCTAAGCTCAGTTCTTATTTAAAACTGTTAAATTCATTTTTACTTAGTTAGTTCCTTTTTAATATTATTTTTTTTACAAGGTTATACATTTCTTGAATAACCCCCTTTATGTTCAAACATCATTTTTCTCCGGCATTGAAATTTTTTTTTTCTAAAATGTGAAAATTTAATTTTTTGAGATAAATCTTAAAATTGATATAACCATTTACATATTTATGTAGGGAAGCTATTTTTTAATATTTGAAATTCATAAAAATAAACTTGTGTATTGAAGAGCACAGACAATATATAAATAACATTAAAATTGCCAATGTTCATATTTCGTTGAATTATGTTTTAGTTTAAAATGTACAGTGTTACAAATGTATAAAGAAAATTTTTGTTTTACATATTCAGATATGCTTAATTCTTGATATGTGAGATTAAGAAATAGTGTTGTTTGTTTGTTTTACAATTATTTTATTAGAAAATTCGTATTTTACAATGTATTGCTATTTCAGATTAGTAGAATGGCAAAATATTACAATACCGAACACACACATCCTTTTTCCTACGAACAGGTTAAAATTAACGAACATTTAAAAGAAAAGTGTATTACTTATTCAATTCCGAAGTATTTAAATCGTAATTTAAACTGAGCGAAATATTTAAGGTGCTTTATAAATATCCAATTTAAATTTTATATTTTCATAGGTTTGCAGAGCCATATTCCAGAGATATCCTAATCCTTTTGCTAGTCATGTCCTCTCTGAAGATACTGTATACAGGTTAGTGTTTTTTTACAGTATAGTAGACTTTTTGGGCACTTAACCGCCCATTCTCTTTTATCAATTTTAGCTTTGCACTTTTGCTCTTGCTCTGAAACTATAAATTTTTAAATAACCTTAAATTTTGGTCCATTCTATTTCAAATGCGCATTTTCAAGTACAGTCTTTTTGCCGTGTGGGAGAACGGGTGTGTCGGAGTCTATATGGTTAAGTGCATGCCGGTCAGAAGTAAAACGGGCGTGGGTCACCATCCCCCCATTCTGTTGTTGCTATAAAAAATTGGGCTCGATTGGGTCATCCGTTTTGGCGTTTATTAAGTACAAACAGTCAAACAAACAGACAGACAAACAAGATTATAAAAATGAACAAGTTGCATAGATGTCTAGTGTCTACTGTACATGATGTATAAATTTAATATTAGGGAGGTGATAAACGGTACTATTCTTTACTCACGACGCTTTCTCACAAAAACTAACAAGATTCCTAAATGGGGAGAAAAATGGTTGTCAGGTAATTAACATTTAATCTGAGCCTTTGATGATAAAAGGGACTCCAATACATTATTGGAGATTACTCTTCATTGAATGAGTTGCATTTTAGATTTAAATTGGTACTTATTAAACATTTATCTGAGAAATGATGAAGAAGAAATCGTTGCTTTTCTATCTAGTCAATTTTATAGAGATTAAAATCATTTTGTTTCCGGTTAGAAAAACAAGGATAATCCGTATACCCACTTCAAATTAGGCTTTTAATGCACCATTGGGAGTCGGAAATAGTAATAAAACATTACTCCTTAAATCGCGTTAAGAATAACTGATATATTATAAGTCATTTATATCCTTTTTTTTTCAAAAACAGCAATTTTGGTTTTGATTGTTTTTATTTAAGAAAAAAGAAGAATTTATATATTTAATTTTTTTTATTAGGATTTGCCCGACGTGTTCCTTTGATAGAAGAAAGTTTTATAGATAGTGAAAAGAAAACAATTACTACTTACACTAGGTTAGTAGTTAGTATCTGTACAGGGTGTCCCAGAATACATGTAAATTAAAGACAATGTGATTTTTACTCGGCATTGTTTAGTGAAAAAAAATTGATTTTCTAGCTAAAACACAAAAGAAACCTAAATTTTGGGTTACCAAAAATAAAGAAGAAAAAGTGTCTTAATATCTTAAATCTTCATTACTTTTAAGGTCCAAAAAACTTGAACCTTTTCTAACTAGTCATACTACTTTTATTTGATAACATGTATCAATATTTTAAAAATAAAGACGATCTTAATAGTGTCGCTAATTAGTAATTATGATCATGTTGGTACATGCACCCTATTGTAAAATTAATTTAATTTTGGAATAAAAACATAAGATAAAATTACTAATTATTTGAAATGGTTTTTAGGAATGTTGGACTATCAAACTTTATGACAGTAGCAGAGAAAGTGGTGTATAAGGTACCTTTAATTGACTCAATCTTCTAATTGTGAATTTAAGGAATTGAATTTGATTTTTTATGATCTGTTTGTAATGGTTTCCTTACCATCATCGTATGTCTTGAATTTTTTCCACAAATATTGCGAAACATTTTGTGGTTTGATTTGTTTTGAAAAGGACAACTTCATTTTTTGATGATTTGATTTGATTTTATAGTCAATTTTCTCTAATTCTGCGTTTGGTTAAACCGGAAGTTATAAAGACTGCATTGCTAAGTGTCAGCTGATCATCTGCGTATTACTTAATTATTATAAATTTGTGACCCCTATTTGATTATCATCACGCTATAACAGGATCCACTTTTACATAACAGTACCATGGCACAGGTCATGCTAATTCACTGGCCAAAATATGCCCAATAAAGGATATTAAGGGGAGTGTTTGGGAAAAATTAAAAGGGGTAAAGGCTTATGGCAAAAAAAAATAAGCGCTTTTGATCGCTGCTAATCTTACTTCTATCTGTTGTGTCTATAAGAAAAAAATGTTAAAAACAACTCATGTTGAAGAATGTAGTGTCCATACATATTCAGAAAGTTTTAACATGCAACTCGGATCGTAAAATAATCAATTTAATTCCAAACAAATCATTCATATATTACAAACAATAGTCATTAATTATTTTTCAGCACATTCTAATATAGTTAATATTTCATAATATCTTTGATTATGTTTTTTAAAAATAATATTTTGCTGATGCTGGATTTTCATACATACCTGGAAAATATGAAAATGTCAACTTCATTATCAAAAATTCTTGAAACAGGAATAAATGTCTTTCACAGATCATAAAAAATTAAAAATATATATTAAATCAACTATATATGAATGGGTCAAAAAAATATTGATGATAATTGGGTGTAATATCTGAATGATTTGTTTGGAATTAAATTGTTTTTTATGTTCTGAGTCGTATGCTGCAACTTTCTGAATTTGGACGGACGCTGCGTTCTTCAGAATAACTGATATTAAAGAAAAGATGAGACAGGTGCAAGAAACCCAAACCTTGAACAAACTAGATGAGATTGAAGAAAAGATAGAATGTAACTTAAGGTCAGGCATTCAAAACCAAGTCCTAGACAAGGACTTCTGCGCAGAAATTTCTCGCCTGAGAAGAAATGTTGCTGAACTTACTGCAAGATCCTCTGTTAGAGGATATGCAATATTACCAAGTTCCTGAGATTGGTGCCCTTATTGACCTTGTTGATAACCCTCATCCCAGTGAACCTGAGGACAGTGAAGGGATAATGGCCCAACCTCCTGAGATGAGGGAAGCTAGCTTTGTGGATGTAAATCAACCTTTTACATGAATATACTGAATACCAATACCAAGTTAAACTATATTGTTAAATACTCAAGGTGTTGCTTCATTCTCCACAATCATAGTGATGAGTAACCATAACCATGGTACACTTTATCAAGGCACATCTTGTAAATCACACAACAACCTAAGGGCAGTGCCATCTACATGTGATGCAAATGAAATGGGAAATCAGCCTCATAATAGCTTAATACCCCAAAATGGTCAAAATGCATTCCAAAATGTAGTTAGGCAACCAACAGTTTAGGTATCCAGTGAAGCATTGCCAAACCCTCAAAGAGTTGGATACCAAAATTTTTGAAACTTCATCTTGAGCTTTGTGCACTGAAAGAGGAGTTTAACCCCTCGTGGGAATACAAGCCATGCACAACGATACCGGTTTTTTACTCGACCAGATGTGAGGACTGGACTGCCATGGAAGATACCTCTCAAGAGAGCTTTCAGGGATCACAACTCCCCATTTTGTATAAGGGGTGCAGTTATGGGTAAAAAGATGTTAAAAGAACTATTTGGAAAGGCCTTAAAGTGTAAAAACAAGAAGCAAGAAGCAAGAAGAAAAAAGAAATTGAACAGAAAAAAGTGGAAGGGAAATCTCTTGGCAGTAGAGATGGGTGCTTAAAGCAAGATTAACAAGAAAGAATAAGAAAACTTTGAACAGGAAAAATTAGGAGGGGATTTGATCTTTACACTCAATTTTTTTTCACCGATAGTGACTAAAGACAAATACACAGGATGGCAGACGTCCCATCCCCCCCCCCTCTATGTCCTACTTGCGATAAAAAAAAATGGAAAATAAATAATAATGGAAATGAACAGAATTGCACAAAAAATAAGGAGAAAATTCATCCAAAATATACTCGAAATAAGGTTATNATGGAACATAAAAAATAATGGAAATGAACAGAATTGCACAAAAAATAAGGAGAAAATTCATCCAAAATATACTCGAAATAAGGTTATTAAAAAGTAACCGATGATGCAGAGATATCTATATTAAAATGAATAAATATCTGTTCTCAGAAAACCAAAGTCCAATTATGAGATTTTAAAAAATTGAAAAGAAAGCTGAATTACAAATTTCAATGCAATCAGGGAACAAAGTACAACAAAGGAATATAATTTTCTACAAAATCTGGAAGCAATATGTTTTCATTAAAGTGTATTAAAACATTCGAAAACAGACTCTCAGAAATGTTATTTTCCATCAAAGGTTCTGAGGAAAAAACTGGAACAATTCATCTCACCATCAGAAAAATGTTAACCTTATTAAACTTTTTATACAATTTCATCATTTTCACAATCTTTAGGGCAATAAAATTAACAATCCTGTTTAAGTTTGACTGATTTTTATTTTTTAAATTTTTTATTCTGTTTTGATGTTTTTAAATGAGATAGAATGATGAAAGGGTTGATCGGCACCCTGGCATGGGTCCGGTGTTCATGGAGCGCTGGACCCATGCATTTTTCTCAGTTGGAAATTTATCAACTGAAAGATAAAGGTATTGGAGCTGGTGCTCCTTTACACTATACTCTTAAAGGAGGCCGGTCCACCCTCTCAAAGTTTTACAAAAGATTACAGTTTTTCGTATTATTCAACTTTTTATAAAGTTTCTAATATATTTTTAGTAATTCAAAAATATTGATAAGTTTTATTTGCTTGAATTTTTTTGAAAAAACAACATGAACATGGAAATCCAATGTTGAACAGGATCAAATTGTTAATTTTTTTTCGTTAATGTTTTCTCAACAAACTCTAGGATGGCCATTTTAGGTATTAATGTCAGAGTTACTGGTGAAACCAAAATCAAAATATAAGATCCTGTAAAACAATGTTAATAATGTTAAATATGAAAGGGAAATTTTAAGTTATAAGCTGAATGGTTTTGTTCTGAGATGTTGGATGGGTCAATCTCCTGAACAATCCAGAGATGATTTCAAGCATGTACATGGGGAGGAAGACTTATTTTCAAAGTGTCTTCTTTATAAAAGAGATAGAAGATATTGTACAGGAAGCAAGGGTCATCTAAGGAAAGAGCTACATTTCTCTTTGAACATTACCTTCATTAGAATGTCCAATTGGAATTGCATGAAATGAAGGAGAATTATACTGAAATGAGGATATTGATAATTGAATTGATAATTGAAAGGTTTGGTGACGTTAAAGTCATAACTGATAATATCCTGAAGAAATTAGCAAAGGAAATGATTCCTGATGATGCTATTTCTTCAGTAGCTGTCACAAATTCTGACAGGAAGTTGAACTCTGCTTTGATCAAACTCAAGGAGCTCAACAAGACTTTAAACATGCCTGCAGAAGAGCTGAATGCTCTCATTTACTCAAGTGTGTTTATTTCCAAACTTCTAAGTTTTGTTCCGCAAAGGGCTAAATTTGCATTCAGACAAGAACTTATGTCGGAAAATGAAGGCTATAGGAGAGTTAGAGGGGCAAAACCCTTCTCTATACTTGCAGCAACTGTTTTCAATAGTTTTGAATTGAATGTCTCATCTACCAAGGAATTCTAAACCCGAAAAAACCATTTCACCTAGGATTATAAAGACTGTTTATTCTGTGATCTTGAATGTCAAGGTACTTCTGAAGATGGGCCACATTCAGTTTCTTCCCCTTTCCAGAAAAAAAATCCAAGCCAAAAGGGAAAACAAGACAAAACTCAAGACTCGAGGAAGAAATTCAAGTACTAATGAAATAGGTGAGTGTCAGGAGTTCTTTGCTAAATCTCTTACCACCAGAAAACAATTGGCCATGAGACAGAACTGTTTCACATGCCTTGGTTCATTTGAAGGATGTTAAAGAGGTTGTACAAATAAGGTACCTTCTGATTTGTTATGCATTGAATGCAAGTCATCAGCTGATCAGAATGGGAAATCTGCATCAAACTTTTCTGCAAAAGAAATGATCACACTAAACCCATAAGACTTTGACTGGGATGTTGGAAGAAGTATCTGGTTAATTTTAACCCAAACAAGGTACAGGGACCCATAAAACTTGCTGCTCATCTTTACATGGCTGCCCATTTTGAAAAGTGTTCTAAGTGCACAACAAGAGATTGCAAGTGCAAGCCTAAGACAGAAACTAAGAAAAACGATCCAAGTGTCGAAACTCTTGCCATCAACACTTGCTCAGGAGAAGATATCAATGTCTCTATAAGCCTAAACTATTCCAGAGTCAGATTATGAATCAGTTTTTGTCATGCAACCTATCAATTTAAGGGGTAGAGATGTTCTTGCCTTCTATGATAAGGGTGCTAATCAGCACCTAATTGATGGAAAATTGATGTCAAAGGATGATGAAATTATGTTGATGGTGAGTGCTTCCCTGAACAATTGGTTGATACTGGTAATGCCAATTCTGTGCATTTGTTACAGTCTGGAGTACGTAATAGTACTCACTGTCAAGGTTTCATCAAGGTGAAATCTTAATACCATTCCAGATTTGTCATGGAATGCAAGATGAGTTTGATCACTGTAACAATTGTTGCTGTCAAACTAAGTTCTCTTCCTTTGCCCTGAAGGCTGGTAAAGGTTTGTTAGCTCTTGTTGATATTATTAAATATGGTTGGTCAAAAACTATAGGAATCCTCTCAAAACGTTTCAAAATCTGAGCAATCCTCAGTCACAAAGCTC